CTTCGCCAGCACGTTGTACAGCGCTCTGATCTCAGGTGTGATGGTGTCGATCTGGACCCCGACCCCATCTGGGTGCGTCCAGGAGACGCCTGGACCCGTGACGCAGGACTCCCTCCCTGTGCCGAACCTGCGGGTGTGGTTGAAGGACCAGATCGTCCCGGGGAGGAAGCGCGGGGGAGGCGGCGGGGCGTTGGTGTTGGTCCCGGTGTTGGAGGTGAACTTCTCGTTGATGTTGGTGATGGTTCTGGTCGGGTCCGTGGGACTCAGTACCGGGCTGATGGGAAAACCTAAAGTGGTGAGGTTGGAGTTGGAGTCCGTGATGGGGTTCAGGTACTTGTTGTCGAAGAGGGGAGGGGGGTTCAGGGTGGGAGAGAGGAGGCCTCCGGGCAGGTAGGCCGAGTTGTTGGCGTTGTGGAGTGGGATGAGGCCCGGTCTGGGTGGGATCGGCCCGATAAATCCAGTTTGAACCCCCATCTCTTTGGTCTGCGGTCTCTGGTGTCCGTCCCCCCCGCCGCGGTTCTCCTCCAGAGCCTGCTGCAGCTGCTTCTCCAGAACCTTGTTCCTGCGCTCCAGCTCGTGGACTTTGGCCAGAAAGCAGCGGAAGCGCAGGTTCAGGGTCTTCAGGACACTGATGTTGGACCCCAGGTCGTTACGCAGCGCCGTGGCCGCAGGAGGCACGCGGTGCAAAGGGGCGTTCAGGTGCAGGTAGGCAAGGCCCGACGGGGGGAGGGAGCCCAGATCCAACCCAGACAACCCATCTGGCCCGAACCCACCATGGTCCCCCAGGAAGTAGCCAGGCTCCGGAATGGCGGAGTCGGTCTGACCTGGCATCTGGTGGTGCTGCTGCGGGGCCAGGAAACCGCTCTCCCCCAGAACCGGATTCATACTTGAGTAGGAAAATCTGAAATGCTCGAAATCCGGCATGAACCCAGACTTGGATGTGTTCAACTCTGCAGGTAATTCCGTTGAAGATCTGCTGGTTCCTCCTGGAGTCAGAGTCCTGCTCCTGGTCTCAGCAGATGATTGATTTTTAGGGCAGAGCTGAGGGTCGCAGTTAGATAACGGGGATTCTTTAGGGCCTAAAACTGCAGCAGAAATACAAAATCCTCTGTAACAAACAAACGCAGAGGAGTAAAGGTCGATGAAGACAGCGCAGCGTTCACAGAGGTGTCTCTATTCTCGGAAGCTCAGGAGGAGTCCTGTCGCAACATCCACTTTTACGCAGCATCTATTTCCAGCCAAGAGATCAGAGCAGCGAAGCGCACAGTCCAAATGTTTCTTCTGAGCCTCGGAATTAAGTGAGAACCTCACAGCCGACCTGGTACCTGTCAGACCGGGACACTGAGTCACTTTGGCACCAGATTATCCGGGGAAATGCGTCCGAGCAGAGAGTGGAGCGGCGCTGCTGCTGCTGCTGCAGAGATCAGGGAGAAGAAAACAGCAGTGAATGACTGCGGCTTTCACTTACCGTAATGACAGGGCTAAGAGCGCAGCGGGTATTCTGATTCATCTGCAGTAATGATCAGAGTAGAGGTGCACTTCTGTTATGAAGGGAAAACCTGTCTTTGGTCTCATACCGTCTTTTATCTTTTATCTGTCGTCTCTTATCTCTTTGACCTCCATCTTATTTCAGCTTTACTGTCTTTGTAGCTTTTGTTTCATCCTCTTAAAGGGAGATTCCGGCATAAAATTAATTTAGGGTCAAACACATCATAACATCTGAGGAGCCATAAACAAAACACCACCTTATAGCCACAATAATGCTCAGAACAGCACCACCTTTAACCCTCCTTTTCTTTTTTCTTCACTCCTCATGGTCTCTTTTTATGTTGCATGGTTCTTGTATCGTCTGGATTTCCTAATGACATGAAAATCAAATCCGTTTAAAATGAGCTTTTTGTTAATATTTGTCTTTTTCCATGTGCTTTAAGACTTTATGTCACAGCACTTTGTAAACTTCTGTTTTAAAAAGTGCTGTAAAAATAAAGTTATTATTATTATTATTATTATTATTGAAGTTATTATATCCTATTAATGTTTGAAATAGTTTGTATTTCACTCCAAAAGCAGTAGACTGAAGTCATAAATAACACTTAGTTCCCACAGAGTTTTATTCTTGATAAAGCTGAACTTACGGTAATGCTAATGCTAAAGTAGCAGGTAGGACATGCTGTGAACTCCTCCCCCTTTGTCCCTACCCTCCTATTTAAGACACCCGTCTACCTGCTCGCTGCCACATGGTCTGGACAGAGGAAATAAGGCCTGTTCATGGTGTTGGACCATCGATTTTGAGTCTTTTTTATCAGTGGCTGAATTGTGTGTGTGTGTGTGTGTGTGTGTGTGTGTGTGTGTGTGTGTGTGTGTGTGTGTGTGTGTGTGTGTGTGTGTGCGTGTGTGTGTGTTCTTTTAGATTGTCTGATTGTAGTTGCACTTTACCTGAGACATGGATAAATGTACGGACTCCATCAGCTGCTGTTTTGTGTCTTTTAGAGTTTGTTTTGTGTCGTTTGTATTTTAGGGATAGTCAATAAAAAGAACTTTTAGCAGAACCAACTGAGTTTTTTTTTACGGTTTTAAACATTTTCTTTTGTATAAATCTTTCTTTGTTATTCCCTCAGCACATTGGTTGGTTCCCCACACCTTTTTGTTGCAGTTTTAGGCGCACTGGGGCACCATAGTCTCCACTGGTTTGCAGTGATTCAGGTGTGGTGGGTAAATACACTCCTGGGACACTTCCTTTGGTGGACTGCCGTCCTCTTGCTAGCTCCCACTCATTCCCCCCTTCCCTTTGGATTAGTTTTAACTATCTGAAAGTGTTTTATTTATTCCTTGTCAAAAGAATCAATTGTAATAAAGTTTTTCAATCCACTTTATCAATAACAGACTCAACCTTTCATTCCCAATTCATCACTAACTGCTTTTTTTTCCTCTTCCAGGTCCAAACAGTTTTACATTTTAACATTACAGATAAATCTTGATTTTTGCTCGTGAACAACATCTCTGCCTCGTAGACTTTTCAAACCTGTGTAAGTCTGCTGTTTGAATGACGACTTCAAATTGGAATAAATTCCTTGGGTGAAAGTCCCTCGTGGCGTTGTTGGATGACCTTTGCACTTCCCTGAAATTGGCCTCCCCCACATGGCCACATTTGCTTAAATTTAGCTAGTTAAACTGTCACTACATAACTATGATTTAACGTCTGTTTTTATTCTTCTAATATCACTTGAAAAGTTGGCGTGGCGGATAAACCTGGCTGTGGTTAATGTTCATAATTCACCACAGTATACTGTACAAGAGCAGATTGGGACTAAAATCGTGTCATGATATAAATCCCATGATCAAATTCAGATGTTGTTCAATCATACCTGCAGATTTCTACATACAGGTGTGGTCAGTGGGCTGCAGGTGTCTTCATCAGACATCCTATGGTTACCACAGGATTTCAGTCCAAAGCTGATGTTGCCCTCTAGTGGACTTTTCCTGAAGTACAGCCTTTTTCTTTTGAACTCATACTCTGTGCCCTTATTTTGAAGAGAGAAACAAACATAATGTAAGTCGTGTTTTACTCTGAAAAGTCCTCCGATAGGTGAAAGGATTATGGGCTGAGTCCTGATGAACAAATTATCCACAGAGTGGAGGCAGATTTTCTGTAGCTTAAAAATCCTCTTTTTATGGACTGGGAAAAATAATCGTATATATATATATATGTATATATATGTATGTTTATATATATATATACGTATATATATGTATGTTTATATATATATATGTACGTTTATATATATATATATATATAAATATACATATATATATACGTATATATGTATGTGCGTATATATATATATATGTACGTTTATATATATATATATAAACATACATATATATACGTATATATATATGTATGTTTACATATATATATATATATATGTATGTGCGTATATATATATTCATACTTATATATGTATATATATTTATTTATTTATTTATATATACACACATATATGTGTGTGTGTGTATGTATGTCTGTGAATATATATGTGCGTATATATATGTATGTCAATATATATGTATATATATATATATATACACATACATATATATAATTATTATAAATATTAAATGACACGGTCAATTTTAAAACGGCTCAAGTGCTGTGAAAAGCAACACAAAGTAAGTGTGCATTTCTGTTTGTGGTGTTGGACTCCGGAATTGTCTGGGTCTCACTTTTGTAGCGATGTGAATTTATAATAAATGTTTTAAGATTAATATTTGATCATAATCTTAATTTATGACATTTATGGACTCGTTAAAAGGGGCACCACCCAACTTTAATATGGGAAAATAAAGAAAAACAAAAGTTTAATTCAGAGATGAAACATTGAGTCAATCTTAACTTGATCAATCTCCACTTCTGGGAGAACACTTACAGACAAGAACAGATGAATGAAAGATTCAGAGTCAGGCTAGGATTACTAAAGTTAATGATAGTGAGTGAATATGCTGTAACATATTAACCTACATTAACTTTGGTGTAAAGATAAATTGAAAGGTTATCTGAATTATGAAGCATGAGACAGCATCAGCCCTGTTCTGGACTCAGGAGGTTTGGATACTTAAGTGAGACTGGTCGTTGGAGAAGATGGAGCAGGTTCAGAAGGTCCAGGCCACCGGTTCGAGAGGTTCAGCTCTGAAGGGGACCGAAGTCAGATGAAGGAAAGTCTGGGAGTCACTGCACACAGATATATTTTAACGCAGCTAAATAAGAAATTTTGAACATCCTATACTATGTCATTATGATCAGACTATACTATGGCATGTTTATACATCCTAAAAACAGAATTTTGTTTTTACTCCAAAATCGGAATTTTTGGTCATAGTATACTATGTTGCCTTTTTTTTGGACTAAAATATGAAAAAAAAATTCTGGCTAAAACCTGACATTTTTAAGATCCTATACTATGGCATGTTTTTTTCATCCTAAAAATTGAATTTTGTTTTCACCCTTAAATCTGAAATTTTGGTCATAGTATACTATGTGTTTTATTTTTTCAGACCAAAATATGTTTTTTTTTTTCAGCAAACATATGTTTTTTTATATCCTATACAATGTCATTTGGATCAGACAATACTATGGCATGTTTAGTCATCATAAAATCTGAATTTTGTTTTCGCTCCGAAATGTAAAATTTTGGTCATAGTAAACATCTGTTTTTTTCTGGGAGTAAAATATGAATTTTTTTCAGGCTAAAATATGACTTTTGAAGATCCTATACTTTGGAATATTGATCAGACAATACTATGGCATGTATTTTCATCCAAAAACTTAAGTTTGTTTTCACTGTAAAATCTAAAATTTTGGTCATAGTATACTATGTTTTTTTTGGACGAAAATATAAAGAAAAAATTTACAGTTAAAATATGACATCTATGGCATTATGATCAGACATTACTATGTCGTGTTTTTACATCCTAAAAACAGAATAGTGTTTTTACTCTGAAATCTGAGATTTTGGTCATATTATACCTTTTCATTTTTTTTCGGACCAAAATATAAATTTTTTTTTACAGCCAAATGATGTTTTGATTACACTATATTATGGCATGTTTTTTCATCCTTAAATCAGAAACTTTTTCTCATCCTTAAATTGGAAATTTCATCATGCAATAATGTTTTTTTCTGACTAAAATATGATTTCTTTTGTTGCGCTAAAATATTACCTTTTTAAAATCCTATACTATGGCATTTTGATCAGACAATACTATGGCATTTATTTTCTTCCTAAAAACAGAATTTTGCTTTTTCATCCTAAAATCTGATATTTTGGTCACAGTACACTGTAGATTTTTTGGAGTAAAATAAGAATATTTTTCCCCCCGCTAAACTATGACAATTTTAACATGCATGGCATGTAGATCAGACAAAACTATGGCTTTTTTTTATCCTTAAAGCTGAATTTTTTTTATCATCAAATCTGATTTTTTTGTCATAATATACTATGACTTTTTTTAGCTTAAAATATAATTTTTTTTTACGCAAAATTGTGACATTTTTAAAAGTGGTTACCGTAACTTTAACCCTTAGACAGAAACAGGGTCATTTCTCAAAACAATTAAAATTCAAAATTAAAGATTGGAATCTTTTATAAACACATAATTTGAAGATAATATCTCAAAGCTCGTAATTTGGAATCTTTCTTACAACTAACATTTGAAATGTATGCCCCAAAATCTAAAATGTATCCAACCCCAACCCTACGTTTCAACCTAATCTAAACTCTAGGTCTGGCCTTTACCCTGTGTCTAACCCTAAATGTAGTTCTTACACCAATTGTAGGTCTAACCCTAACCCTAACAAAAATTATAGCCCTAATCCTAAGCCTGGGTTTAACCCGAACCCTAGGTCTAGCCCTAACTCTCATCTATCCTTGGTGTAAGCCTAGGTCTAAACCTGACGATAACATTATGTCTAACCTGAACTGTATGTTTAACCCTACGTCCTAGGTTATAACCCGAACTGTAATCATAGCCCTAACTTTAATTTAGCTGCAGGTTTAATCCTTACCCTAGCCCTGACTCTAACCCTAGGTGTAACCCTAACCCAGCTCAAATATTAACCCTAACCCTAACCGTAGTGTTTGAAACTACTATCTAAGGTTGTTCTTGAAAATCTGTTTAACCATTGACATTTCAAATTTCAAGTTGTACATCTATCTGAAACTCACCTTAGGTCTTATAAAAACCCTAGGTCTGGTCATTACACCAATCTTGGGTCTAATCATAACCCTAACCCTAGGTAACCCTATCCCTAACCCTAACCCCTGATCCCAAACCCTTACCCCAACCCTAGCCCTAACCAAAACCCTAACCCTTACCCTAGCCCAAACCCTAACACTAACCGCTAACCCTGACCTCATTAAACCTATAACCTATAACCCCTGATCCCAAACCCTAACCCTAACCAGATCTCTAACCAAAACCCTAACCCTAATCCTAACCATAACCCTTACCCAACCCTAATCCTAACCCTAACCCTAGCCCTAACCCCTAAACCAAACCTAATTAACACTATAACCACTGATCCCAAACCCTAACCCTAGCCCTAACTCTAGGCTTAACCCTAAGCCTCATTAAAACTATAACCCCTGATCCCAAACCCTAACCCAAACCCTAACCAGAGCCCTAACCCTAATCCTAACCCAAGCCTAACCCTAACCATTACCCTAGCCCTAACCCCAGCCACTAAACCTAGCCCTAACCCTAACCCTAGCCACTAACCCTAGCCCTAACCCTTATCCTAGCCCTAATCCTAAACCTAGCCACTAACCCTAGCCCTAACCCTAACCCTAGCCACTAACCCTAGCCCTAACCCTAGCAACTAACCCTAGCCCTAAAACCCTAGCCACTAACCCTAGCCCTAACCCTAACCCTAGCCACTAACCCTAGCCCTAATCCTAGCCCTAATCCTAAACCTAGCCACTAACCCTAGCCCTAACCCTAGCC